TCCGCAATGACAGAGCAGTTCGCTTCCGTATATACCACTGTGCGTGCGCATATACCGAGCTGGACGCGTGCGGCTCCTACTGAACTCAAGGGCCTTGATTGCGGGGTGGAAGAAGTCCTCAGTCTACACGCCAATCTTGATGGCACAAATCCTGCCGGACCAGATGGACTTCACGCGATAATTTTGAAGTCCTTATTAGCCATCATCTCGCCTGCCATGACCGATCTGTTTAACAGATCGCCGTCCGAGGGTGTATTGCCGAGCGACTGGAAATGCTCGATAGTGAAGCGGACCCAAAAAGGTTGTGACCCACGATATGTGGACAATTACTAGCAGATTTGTCTCACCTCTGTTTTGGTGAAGATGCTCGAGAAGATTGTAAAAAGGGTCTTCTCCAGCAGCTGGAGTCGAAAGACCTCCTAATGCCGACACAGCACGGCTTCATAAAGGGCCGCTCTTGCATCACCAACCTACTGTTAACGCGTCAGGAATGGTTGCAAGCGTTGAAGCGGTGGAAGTCAGTGGATGTTGTCTACATTGATTTTGGTAAAGCTTCAGAGAAAGTGAACCAGGAGGTTTTTCTCCACAAGCTGAGGAAGTGTGGTGTTGGTGGCGCCTTGCACCAGTGGATAAGCGACTTCCTTATTGGGAGAAAATTGCGGGTTCAGGTAGATGACCAGCTAACGGATTGGTACCCGTCCACTAGCTGCTTACCCTAAGGCACAGTACTGGGGCCCATTTTATTCCTGATCCACATCAGGGAAACGCCTAAGCTTTTTCGGTCGCCCTGCGCATTATTTGCGGATGAACTGAAGATTTGGAAGTTTATTGATTCTCCTGGCGACTGTGACGTCCTTCAGCAGGACCTCGACCGCCTATCCCGGTGGTCTGCAGAAGTTGACCTACCAGTCAACACGGCCAAACCCTCGTTTATGGCCCTGGGGAGGGGTAGTAATGGGCGTGCGTACATTCTGGCCGGCCACCCGCTGCATCCCATCAGTGCCGTAAAGGATCTAGGCGTGCTCACACGTTGTGAGCTGAAGTCTGTCGACAACACGAACAGACTGTACGCAAACGGACTACACCTGCTTTGGACGCAGCTTGTGCACTTGATCTGAAGAGATTACCGCTCTTCTGTTCCTTTTCATAATAAGACCGGTGCTTGAGTACGGCTCACCCACTTATTGCCCGATCGCAATAGGTGAGGCGCGGAGATTAAAACGGGTACGGCATGTAGCTACCCGGCTCATCCCCAGTTTACGGGGTATGTCATACGTGTACATATGTAGTAGACCAAGGCTTTATGCTCTGTCATATCATCGATCTCGAGTTGAACTCATTATGACGCACCAGATACCACACCTGTGCCGCTTCCCTATGTCGAAGCCGCTGCTGCACTTTCGCGCACCAAGCATCACTCGCGGACCAAGGTACGAACTACTGGCACCGGATTTAAAGCACATCGCTCACTTTCTATGCGTTGAGTGTCGAGTGGTGAAATATTGGAACAAATTGCCGGAGACGCTAGTCGAGGCGAAATCGGTCTCGAAATTTAAGTAGTTCCTTGACACCCACTTTGCGGACTACAGGTATAGGGAGCCTATCGCCCCCGCAAAAGGCGTCGTGCAGTTGCAGTATGCTGCCACTGCGCAAGAAACAGCAACGTGATTGCGCACAAGTGCCCGATCGACCTACAAGGAAGTAACACAGATGTTGATCTTCTAGCTGTCTATTCGCAGTATTCAATATTGCGGTCCTGCACATATATACATTTCAAGTTCAGTCTCCATGCAGCGGAGATATATACCGGCAGCGCGCTGATGTTGCAACGGTTTTCTTGCCTTGATCATTCTTCGCTGACGTTTTGGTTGGAATGTCGAAACTGAGTATGCTGAAGACGGTCATCAGCAGTCTTGGCCCACACCACAGTTAAGTAGATGAGATTCTTATTCACTTTCACGCATATAGAAGTATCTAGCAGCTCACCAACGTATTCAACCAGGCTGATGAGGCGATACAGTTTACCTACAGAGTAGAAGTCAACGATGCTTGTAATTTTCGCTATGTGACCCAAAGTAGACTCAACGGTTTTGTGTTACAAAGTCTCGTGTACAAAAATGCACTTGGTGTGGGTAATACACTACCTTTCATCGTGTTCTACAGCTTAGTCTCAAGTCAAACATGGTATTTTGCCTAGTACGCCGACTTAAAAGAATATGCTTTAAGGATACTCTTTTCGAAGAATTAGAGTGCATACATTTGAAGAGGAAAGCAAACGGCTACCCAAAGTGTTTATCAAAGTCAATATGGGGCGAAGAAAGGTTGCAATGGTAGTCTGACGGTGGAACTAATATGTACCTTCCTGCAACTGCCGTACCAAGGGGATATCATGACGGAGATTCCATCCTGCAGTCTTGCACACAAACACACAAGCGTTTCTTCCCAGCGGCCAGGAGGTAAATGCAGTTCACTAGCAGCCCAATGGTGGAACTACACATCAGATATAAGCTGCATGTTCAAACCAGATCAATGCGTATTTACTACTTCTTCTGTTCCTGTGGATCAGGATACTTTGCTCGTACCACAAGGTGCTTATCCCATATGGTGAAGGAAAACCATTCAGCCTGGCTCGGAACTGGAGCTCGGAAAGCTACCAAATCTGCCGTAGCCGTGCATCTTGCAGTCACGTCACCAAGTTGGTTGATTTACTCAACATTATCAGTCAAGCCCGCGGAAATCGATAAACTTGTTTCCGTTAGTGGATGTTGCACTCCGCAGAAGCCATCGACATTCGGATGTACGGACAATAGCTGTGCACTCATGAGGTTCACTCAGGCTTTGAGCCTACCCTGACCTAGACGGATCATCGTTGACACATTATAGCGCGTGGAAACTACAGTGGTGACTTGGTTGACGGCGCTTGTCATGGTGTGATAGAAGCAACTGGGAGATTTGTGACTCGTTACCTCTGTCCACAAATTTTTATTGCCATACAGGTGTTAGTTCATTTGTTAACAATTATCCAAAATACATGTTCGCTTACAAATACATTTGTTCAGTCCATGAGCTTTGATGATGCTGCATTTTTCTAGAAGTGATCAGACATTGGCGATAAGAATAGTGGGTATTCATGTAATTGGAGCTTTTCTTCCACAGAGAAACCCACCATTTGGTACGCGGCTATATTTTATAGATGTAATTCGTTTTATGTGAATTTTTCTCACTTTATTACCCATCGATCATTCATCCTTGTTAGCGTGCGCAGAAAAACAATAATTTCAGAACATAATGTGTATGAATTATCACTGTACGGATTGTCAGTGAGTAAAACAGTACGTTAATAAAAAGTACCATCGAAAACATGTGGGACAGTAATAAATTGAAAGGGGAAAATGTAGAGCACGGGCAAACTTTAAGGTCTATGCACAAATCTAACCAATCGTTTCAACGGAAGTTGTAAAGCACGATCGAATTGCGGAGACAGCGGAAGTAGGCAGTTGAGACAAGTAACCAACCATCCAACAACGAATATGATGGAACAAGAACGGCCATCCAGGAATGCCTAGAACTTAGTAAGCAGTGAACAAAATGACTCCAGTGTTAAAACAAAATCGTAAAATAAGTGATCCCACTTAGTCTACTGGTAGTTGTTGGCTCAAGTGTCTCTGGAACACTTAGAGGATAAAGCGACCCTACACATGAAATTCGCCATTTATGGAGTACGAATCACTATCGCACCCATATTGACTGTCCATGCGTTTGGGCGTAAACCTCTATCCATCTCTTACCCAGACTTTGGTGAGTTGGTTTCAACTACTTGATCGGTACACTGTTCATGATTCATGTCACAATATACAGTGCGTGCTAGCAACAGCTTGTTCTGTTACCTTAGCGCCGTTTTGCCTCGGAACAATCACAGCGTTCACAAGCCTTGCGTTAATTCCGTACACTAATCTTTAGCAACACTGCAGACAGCACCAACGTTTATTAAAGGTTCATGTAATTTCTGATGGCTGGAAGGACACTGGAACCACAGGATCTAGTTGGTGAGCGTGCAGATGCGTGTACACGACTGCAGTAAGTAGTGTGGATACAACGCTGTTACAAATGGCGCAGGGTGAATAGCTGTAACAGAAATGGATAGTTAGTGTTTGTGAAAGCAAATCCTTCGATGCACCCAAGTGTAAAATGAAAATGTACTTCGGCAACATTAGCACACATTGATGCAACCGCTGGAGGGATGGCTAGATAGCTGCATCTTCACTCCTGCAATATACCACCTAATCACAACGCAACAACCGTCAAAAAAGTGAAATTTGCTTTTACTTAATTATCTGAACCATACTCGCTGTTCATTGGATATGTCCTACATTATTTATTCACCTGATATTCACTCAGATTAGGAGGTGTGAGTCTATACCGAATCGGAATTACTGCGATTCTGTTCTCATCATGGCGGATGGCGTGGTCTTCAGTCGTACTTGTGCTATGTATATTCAGCTAGTGTTGATAAACGGCCTCCAAAGTTTTACGATTTGCAAGGATCATGAAGCTTGACACATACTTTTCGGTCCGACTATTTTCACATTACCACGCACCTCTTAGAATGTGGAGCACCATTTGTGTCAGCTTCCGTCGGATAGTAATTTTATCAAGGCTTAATATATTATTACATACGGAGAATCGTTTAAGTCTGGTAAGGGTTTTACTCATCTTTGTTTTATATTCTGGTAGTTCCGCAGTTATTGTTAAATCTATGTGACTTTAACTCCTTCGAGTTCATTGTGTAGCTTCACTTCCTCATAGTTGCACGCATGCAACAATTATAACAGCCAAAGCATCACGACAGGCCGAAGTAGGTGCTCTTATCAGACGGCTGCTGATATGGATAGCCGGATAGGCCGATATTCATAGCCCACAGTTCTTAGCTTTTTCGTTCGACCGTTTTCATTGTTTGCTGTTTCCTAACCAACTGGCCACTAAATTGACCCCCTTTGCAGCTCGTTGACACTACTGATGTGATTGAAGACTTTGGGATGGGAAGTGTACACAGGCCTTCAAGAAACCTGCCGCAAATCATGGATTCAATGTCCCCCTCCCACGCCTTTGCGGGACTCGCGTGTAGAGGCATCAAATCTGAAGTATTGTTTGGTTCCCTTGCATTTTCAGATGTTAACGTATTCAAGTGTGCAATTGATTTTACGTAATAATTATGAGCAAATTGTTTACGTTACATTTATTTAGGGCCTTGAATGGCAAAAGCCTCTATCTAGTAGGGTCGCCTTAACGAATGGACTATTGAGTGCACAGTGCGACGAACGATTCAGTGCATTCGCTTAATAAAGTCAAACTCTACTGTAGCTTGTTTCACTGACGAAAAGATATCAGCGTCTGCCACAGTAATAGTAGCAACGATACCGACGATCACTTAATGCTTGAAAATATATCATTTATGAGTCAACAACACATTGAAATGATGGTATATCAATGGGTTCATATGAAAGCAATTCATCTCATATTGCCTCCGTTTGCATGTTTGCACCACAATAGGGCTTACTACTCGGGATACTACTTCCTTGAAATTATAGCCAACTACAAAGTCTTACTTTTTACTTCAGCATCTATGTTGTATGTAGCAACAATTCAGGGAGCGATGTAGCTGACGCAGCCGAGACACTAAAGCCATTGATGGGGTGAATTATGACTCACGAGTACAAGCACTTTGAGGCCAATGTCGATAGTGAATTAAGTACCAAACTACAGGAGGCTCATTGATATGAGTCATGGCAATCGTGAGATTTAGATTACCTCATGCTAAAAAGATAGATTTCAAGGAACCAACAACTCATTTAACTAAGCACTATCCTTCATTCACAGATACTTAGTTACCAAACGGAGTTCTTTGCTGAGTTAATGAGACTCTTTTGCCACCTTAAACTGTAGAGTTAGCAAAAATCAGTACTGAACAGAGCAGCTGATCGAGTGTGAATCCCGGAAGACGAGTGAAGTCGAACACAGTTGACTAGATATCAGAGAACTACAATGAGAAGTGAGGTGATGAAGCAGACTGGAGTGAAGGGCAGCGCCGTAGCTCAACTATCAGATGAGCGCATGCAAGTATGTCCGGATCATGGGGAGCAACAAAACAGAAATAGTGTTCGTACAATCGAGTTGTAGCAACATTGTGACTAAAGGATAAAAGTTATTTTTGGGTAGTTACGAGGCCTGTTCTTTTATCCCAATGCTCAATGATGTCAAGAAGTGCTGCTAATGTTATGGTCGTGGTGCAAATCCCAAACTCAGGGAAAAACCTTAGTCTATGACTTAGAGCATAAACTGGTAGTTCCCTAAGCAGCGATGTTTGCAGTTTACCCTATGATTAAGCGGCTCAGCATTGTGGCTGCCTAAGCTCTCCTGTAATCTTGCAGCCAGTTGTTGCGAGGTCACACAGGAACGACTTGCACGTGCATTGCAAATGTTCAACTCGTTTTAATCAGCAGAATATGGGGCATTCTTTGTCGTTTTACTAGACACCTCAACAAACGTTCACGTGATCGCGGTACGTCACAGCGGCATTTTTTCCATCGTCTAATTCTACAGGTCCCATTCCTTAATTATGTACTAGACCGCTTGATAGTTCCCCACATTTAAACATCATCATCATCAACAACAGCAGTACATCAGCCGTTTGAACTGGTGCTTCGCTGCCATACAACCATGAGGACCTATGAAATAAAGAATAAGAAGAGGGAGAGAAGGGGGACTTACATGAAAACCGTAATGCCCTAAGCAAACATCCAGGGTCAAGGCACCTACACCTTGTGTATACAACATACCGTCACAAACAGATGGCTATCGTGCAAAGGCGGCATCGGTGAGACCGCTTCCTTGCGGCTTTCACTGTCACGCGTCTTAATCAGCCATTACCCCGCAGATAACTCAGCACCAAACACACTTTAAACAGGCAATCTGATTAGGAGACGGCAGCAGACGCGCCACTGGTGTCTACTGCGAGCCGTCCTGTAAAGTCTCGAGCCTAGCACAAGGCGAGTCAAGTGGACTCCAGCCTGGAAGGCGAGACGGATCAACGGCACCCAGTTTGGTTGTCAGTGACTTCATTTCCCGCTGCCAAGTCAACTTCTGTCCACCTCGAGCCTTGCGCCACCCAACACCTGGTAGACTAAACAAGGCTCTCCTAGGTAAGCGGTGACCAGGCATATGTAGCACGTGCCCGAGTCAACGCAATTTATTCAGTGCTATCTGTTGTTCTTGGGAGCTGGCATGATTATCACTACCTAGTACTCGCCTACTCACATCATCGTTGCGGACAACCTGGTGCCATCCGACTCCAGCCATGCTTCGTAGACAACGATGATCAAAGACTTGAAGGCGCCTCAGATCTTCAAACCGAAGGGGCCAAGTCTCACTATCATAGAGCAGAACGGCCCTTACTGTGGCCTTGTATACGCGGCCTTTCAGAAAGAGAGAAACTCCCTTCTGTCGCCAAAGGTCCCGCAGGTTCAAGAAAGCAGCACTAGCCTTTGTAGTGCGTGAGCTGACGTCAGTTTCTATGCGCCCATCGTTTCTGATACAGCTTCCTCTATGTGAATTGAGCGACCACCTAGAGTACCTCATTATCAATTGTCAAGGGGTCATCAAGTGGCTGGTGGTGCTGCAGCAACACTTTGCACTTTGAAGGTGCGAAGTGCATACCAAATAATGGGACCAATCTGGACAGGCTATTCAGGGTTGATTGTGCCGACCCAAAATCGTCGAAAAACAAGACGATATTGTCCGCATAATCTAGATCAACTAACCTTCCACCAGGCAGCACTTCAACGCCTACATCATAATATTCCCCAAGTGAACACACCATGATAGAAGCCACGACGAAATTGAACAAAAATGGGGAAATCGGACAACGCTGACGAACGCCACTTGTGGTCGGATAGCTATCCGATAGGACACCGTAGACTCTGACGCAGCCTGTAGTGTTCGAGTATAGACACGAAGGATGTTCACATATTTCGTTGGAACACCTTTCCGCGCAAGTATTTCGAACAGAATTGATGGATCGACTGAATCGAACGCACTCTTGAAATCGAGGAACACATCTATTGTCGGTCTGCAGTATGCGTGTCGCTACTCTAGCACTTGCCGCAAAGTGAATATATGGTCTATACAGCCACGTCCTGGGTGGAAACCAGCCTGGTCTTCTCTACTCCGAGATTCCCGTTCCGTAATGAGGCGACGAACGATAATCGAGGCCAATAATTTTGTCACAACTAGCTTTGGGATAATACCCCTGTGGTGGTAATTTAGTTTACGCCTAATAGCCCTTCTGGTCACATTGTGTTCAGAGCCAGCCGGGAGGTCTCTTCTAGATTCCAACAGGTTCACCGACCTCTCGGATATCCAGTGACTGGTGCGGTAACGATGGATGGTGCCACAAGCAGATGCTCCTGCGTCGTGCACGGCGGCTGAGATCCTATTCCACTGAAGGTCAGTGTCATTAGGACAAGACAGCGTTAGTTCGGTAGGCAGTGCGTTTTGATAGGCTTGTCTGACCGGGGGCTGAGACAATTTCTCCGTTGCCAACTGGAGGAGACAATTGGTGCGCCACCCGATATAGATCATGGAGAAACGACAGCGCACCAAGGCATGATCAGAGTCGACACAGCCACTCCAGTACAAGCGGCAATCCAGGATGGAACCACACCATCTGTAACGTATGGCTATGTGGTCAATTTGGATCCGTCGCTCGCCAGCCACAGAAGGACGCCTAGTGGCACTTCGGCGCCCACTGTGCCTAAAAGCAGTGTTACTAAGAAGCAACTGGTGCTCCACACACAGTTGCAGCAGACGTTCGCCGTTGTCAGTCCGTTCGGAATTAAACTCATAATTACCACCCAGCTGAGATTCTGAAGAGTTCAGACGCCCTTCTTGTGTGTTCATATCCCCTGCAAGTACTATAATATCTGAACTAGTAGCACTGTGTAGTAGGGCGTTCAGTTCGTGATATGATATGTCCTTGTCAGCTTTAGAACTGCACCCGGTGGGAGCATATGTGGAGATTAAAATCAAACAGCGTTTTGTATTACTTCGTTAATAAACCTTAGCTGATGCCGTCAAACGTGCTGCACATAAACGGCTGTTCACCGGAATGTAATCAACCAACAATGGCTCAGCCTTGGAGCTTATAATGACGCCTACACCAGCTTGACTCGTGAGTGCTGCATCAGCGTCTCCGGATGCGTGCAACCAATAACGAGAGGATAAGCCGGGTGCAGTTAATTCAGTAACCCCGTTGGGGCCATTGATCCTAGTTTCGAAAACATCACACACATCAATATCCAGTGTGTCCAAGGTGTATGCGAGTGCAGCCTGTTGACCTGTTCGTCTTAGAGTGCGAACGTTGATTGTCGCCATGGCAACGGGACAATGTGGCCTTATACTGGACTTTTGCCGATAGGAGTCCGATAGTTGCTATGGCATGGTGGATGCAGTTGGTTCTAATCCAGTGGCACTTCGGTTACTGTCAATTAAGCCGGGAATTATAGAAGGAAGGTTAGTAATGGGGGTCGGGATGAGCGTAAGAGTAAGAGGTGGAAAACAAAGAAGGGTGGCGCCAGTAGTATCATGTTTTCGCTTATCCGCCCTGCTGTATGCAGCAGATAAGGCGACCCTTGATAATCTGCGCGACGGTCGATGCAGGATGAAGTTTACGTTTGAAGAAGATGTTATGGTTGTATGTGGGCTGAGATACTGCCAGGGTGCCCGGACCTAGACAGGAGGACGATTAGGGTCCTCATCCAAAGCCTTTGGCTCAAAAGCCTGTCCGCAATGCAGCGGGGTGGCAGTGATTTAATTTTATAGAAATGGACGCCAACCCATTTCAAACCCCCAACATGGAGGACCAGGAGACTGAGTTTGTCTGACCTCTCACCTTTGACCAACCTGGTAGGAGTAACTCTCAAGATGCTCGGAGACATCACCCAGTATAGCTCAATGGGTCAACGAGGTACGCAAACCATCGCACAATGTTAAAGTCCAGTCTCGTTGCGATGGCACATTTAAACATGCGTAATGGTTCACTATGCAAATCTGAAGCTGCTTGTGAGGAGATCCACTCGAGGATATC